GCCTCCGCACGGCCTCCCCCTGCTCACAGGCTCAGCCTCCGCACGGCCTCCCCCTGCTCACAGGCTCAGCCTCCGCACAGCCTCCCCTGCTCACAAGCTTGGCCTCCGCACGGCCTCCCCCTTTTCACAGGTTCAGCAGACTTTTTGTCTGTCATGTCATCTCTGGTAAAATGGCCATTGGCGAGGAGGAGGCAGAGGGTTTATTATGGATCGTTCAGGGGTTTTCTTGGGGAGAGACGGGGAACGAGGGTTGCATTTGCGGTTGGGTGCCCGCTGTTCTGCTAACGGTCGGTGGTGAAGGGAACTGAGGCTTTGTTTGATGCCCCGTTGACACTTGTCCTCACTGTTGTTGCTCCCTCCTAGGAGCCAGCGCCACTCTTTGACCTTGCAATGCTCGCGTTAGACAGTCCTGAGAGTGGCTGGACAGAGGACGACGGCCCCAAAGAAGGGCTTGCCGAATACATTGTTGAGTTTCTGAAGAAAAAGGCCGAGATGCTTGCGGACTACTTCTCTTTGGAAATTGATGAGGTGGGACAGCCATTCTTAACTCCTGTCATAGTCTTCGGATAAGAGACAAGTTCTATAGATGGCCCAAGACCAGGGTTGAAGGCTGAGTCTCCCCTCAGAAGCAGCATGCAACGTATGTGGTGTTTTTCCACTTCCCACTTGCATCTCTGGGTCACACAACCGTTCTGTCGTTCGCCCATGCCGGTCTTGTTCGCAGGGTGAAGGACCCAGGCAGGGGGGAGAGCTGGAGCCGTAGTAAATGAGACTGTTCCCAGCCACTTGCCCTCCCATTTGTTCCTCCTTCGCCCCTTGATCTTCAGGGCTTTCTGTCTTTGGAAGGTGAGCAGATCCAAGGAAGAAGTTACTCTGCCACATGTCAGGACGGAAAGCTCTTTTTAAGTGCTTGGCTTAGCTCTCCTGCCCCCAGTGCTCAGCACCAGGTCACCCAGAGAGGCAGGTGTGAGGACAAGGCCTGGAGGAAGCACTGGAGAAATGGAATTTGTTTAAACCGTAACCACAGTATTTCTTGTCCCTTTGCTGTCCTGGCTGTTTTTCCACAAGCAGGAAGGGAACCTGATTGGATTACCCCTTCTGATTGACAACTATGTGCCCCCTTTGGAGGGACTACCTATCTTCATACTTCGACTGGCCACTGAGGTGAGTGATCTGGCGAGTACTGAGCATGTGAGGGTGTGTGTGGGGTGGGGGAGTGGGCACCTGGCCACGTCTTCATCTGGAATGATAAAAGATAAAAGGGTGAAAGCAGCTGAAGGTCCTCCCTTTAACCCCCTTTAGCGATATTCAGCAGTTCCAGTTTACAGCTTTATTGCCTAAAAAGTCACATTTAGTGTTTTAGCTTTAAGTAGACCTCCATTTAGAAATGAAAATATATTTTCAGCACGTCCCATGTTGAAGTATTGAATTCTCTCTCCGGACCAGGTGAACTGGGATGAAGAGAAGGACTGCTTTGAAAGCCTCAGTAAGGAATGTGCTCTGTTTTACTCCATCCGGCAGCAGTACGTGTGTGAGGGGTCCACGCTCTCCAGCCAGCAGGTACTGGGACGCACACTGCACCCCAGGACGGGATGGGCCTTCCACAGCCCCTGGAGACGAAACTGTCCCATCTCTAAGACGCTGGGATTTCACGGCACATTAACAAGCTTTAAACAATGTTCAGCTTTTATTCGTGAGTTTTGTTTCCTTCTGTTGGTTAGAAGGTACCTCCAGAGTGCTCTCAGATGTGAAAACCAGCCATCCCAGTAAGAAAACTGGAGGCTGAGTTAGACCGTCCAAGGCTGGTGGGTTCCTGTCTCCCACCATTAGCCAGTCGTCGGACGCCGGCTGTCTCCCCAGTCCCCAGCTTTGGCCTCACCCCGCGTCTGACAGCCCCACCAGGAAAGCGGGGTTGTGCCAAGGCCAGTCCCCAGCTCCTCTTGTGAAGGTCAGCTTGACACAGAAAGGGCCTGGATTTACCTCATGTTTTGGTGTCACTTTTTCCGTTCAAATGAGAATGCTGTTCAGTGGGCAGTTATTCATTGGGGATGTGGAGGAGAGTTAAAATAGTGTGGGCATCAAAGGGTAGCCCCTTTACCTGTGTGGCCCTCACTGACTGCTCACAGTTATTCTCAGGTTCAAAGGCATCCTCGTTTCGCATGTGAGGAAGCTGAGGGGCAGCTAAGACGCTCAGGCTGAGAGCCTGTAGGTGGTGGAGCAGAGATTCAGCCCCAGGTCCTGGTGCCCAGAGTCTCATTTGATTGGAAAAATTTACCTCAAAGAAAGGAAAGACAGATGAAAAAGAACTTTTTCTCGTAGGTGAGACAGCTAAGGCTTAGAGGTAGGAGAGGAAGGGGGAGCAAAATTCTCCTCATTGTTTTCTTTTCCTTTCTTGTCCATGGAGCTTCTGGTAATGGGCTGTGCTAAGACACCCCGCCCCTGCTTTAGTGGTGAATTACCTCCCCCTGTTGCCGTCCAGACACCCAAGGATCAGATGTTGTTTTAGATTCTCCTGTAACACATCTCCTAACTGAGTGGAAACAAGGGGTCCACAGCAGAAGGTCCCAGAAGAACAGCAGCCTCTTTTCCATCTGAAAAACCTCACTTCTTGTGTTCTGTGCCTGTGGGACCCCTAAGAGGCTGGCCTAGAGAGGCCAGTGCACACCAGCCAGGAAGCCGTGTACGCTGGGCTGTGGTGTAC